AACAGATTTATTGACGGATTCGGCGGGTTCACAATGAAATATAGACGTTTTTTTTACAATTGAGTGTGGAAAATCTCAGTCATGTGGTGACCGTTTTAGACGATGCATTGCTGGAGGAGTTCTTGAAAGTTTGCGTAGACTCTCTCCAACATCATTCTTTCAATTTGGACGAATTCTTTGCGAACTGCCTCGTTCAACTCGGCCAGAGTTCGAAGCTTGTGCCTGTATACACGAGCCTTGAGGCCTCCCTATAGGAAAAAATCGCAGATGGATACATCTGGGGACCGAGGAGGCCAATGAAACATCATAGAACCTGGAAATGAGGCGACCACGGAAGAGAGGGCGAATAACGTTCATCGTTGTTCTGGCTGTGTGGGCGGCAGCCCCGTCCTGTTGGAACCACACACTTTGGAATGGATCATTTCGACATAGCGCTCCGAGATCACGGTAACAGCATTGCCATTACCGTCTTCGAAGAAGTAAGGGCCGATGATGCAAGTTTGCGATACACCGCGCGCCAACCGTCACTTTGTGGTGTTCAGGTGTCTTTCATGTAACTGTCGCGGATTTTCATTAGCCCAATAACGACAATTTTGGTGGTTTACCATACCATTAAGATAAAGGTGAGCTTCATCACTCGTGAACAAAATGAGGTTCTCATTTTGCTCGATAAGTGCTTCCATCTAATGTGCGAAGTTCATTCGTTGTGCGTAATCTCCAAGCTGTAACTGTTGTGCAATGGCCAATTTGTGGGAGTGAAAGTGAAGTTCCATATGCAAAATACGCCTTACCGAACTGAGGCGAAGTTCACCAGCATGATGCCGAGCAGATCGAGCCGGACTGCGAAGGAGGGCTTGTTGAACGCGTTCCACATTTTCAGGGGTTCGAACCGCTCGTGATCTCCTGGTGGTCTTGTGTTGATCAGTACACCAGTAAATGATTGAATCCAGCAAAGGATGATGTTTCGAGAAGAAACAGTTCGATTTCGATAAGTATTGAAGTGGCGACGAAACTCACGCTGTACAGCCGTGGTAAACTAATTATGTTGGACAAAACTATCATACGCCAAAACGCGGTACTCAACCTTCTACTGCTCTATAATGTCTACTGGTAGAAATGCTAGGAACGCCCGAGTCGAACGGCACTCTCCCCGCCACTCTCGCCCGAATAGGCGGAGACTACTAGCCATTTCAAAAACATCCGTCCTTTGTGACTGTAGCATCAGGAAGGTGAATGTAAATTTTCAGTCCATTATAAATTATATTAATTCTCGTACAAGTAGAGATTTTTATATTTAATGTTTTAACCTCAATTTATGTTGAAGAATTAGAGTTGCTCTCCAGCCGACATACGGTTTGATATGGATGTTTTCTGAAGGAGCTGGGGCTTCTATTTTAGGTGTTCAGGACACCGTGCATAACAAGAATATCGATATGTTCAAAAATCTGCAATCGAAGCTGCACATAGCTCCTTCATCTTCTGGCCTCCCAAAATACTGAACTGCAACGTCGCATTAGCGCCTAAGGTGGTTAAGCAAGAAGTGGAGAAATGATATGGACTATAGAAGAGTAGCGTGGATATATTGGTCGCCTCCAGACAGTAAATCACATGTGTGTGGGTGTATCTATCCAGTTGAAGGGTGGATGTAAAGCTGGACATACACGCTAATAAAATACTTGGCAGCCTGGCATCATTATGGATATTCAGATTCATGATTCCGCTACAATAAGAACTGTATGAATATTTTGATGAACAAATCATAATCAACCGTCTCTACCCACACTCCGCCGATACATGACGCGAATTCGTACCTAAAATCTCCCAGCGTTTGAGAAGCTTCATTCCATCCAGGGCCTTTGATTTCTTACCTTTCGTCTTTCATTCATACGCAATTGGTCTATAAAATGCTCAAGTTGATGATTCCTTTATTACCAACGGCAGATAATGATATATCAATTTTCATATTTTTAAATCTTCAGAACACAACTCTTTAAAATACGAAATACACACACTCCTTAAAGTGTTTTGAAGGGTGCTCCATGTAAAATTTCTCTAAGAATTCTAGTTGCTACGCTCAAAACTCTTATTATTATTGTAACCTGTTTATCGCATGACCTTTCGGTAAATATTACCGTGTATGTTTAGCTTTTGCTTAGAATGATCCATCAGACGGCGGTAAAGGGGATCAAAGAAATAAACCGGCAATAAATTATACTCGATAAAAGAGGGACGCTCTACCTAAAGACAGGTCGCAGGACGGCGTGTTTCTGCTCCCCTGATTACTCATTGCCGACGGTCTGTTTGATAACTGGTCAGTCAGTCTTTGCCAGCCAAAACACAAAATACGGCGTTTGTCTTTGAGGTGCCGCGCCGCCGACTGCATTAGCGTATCCGCTGGTTGTTCCACTTCCACATTCATAAGAAAAAATTACATGGATTACTCTTAATGCCTATTGAAACTTAAAATATTATTTTTTTTCTCAAATGTCTGGTAGCATTTTATGACTAAAAACAGGATAATTCTTTAATTAACGCATCAAGTTGTAAATTTAATCAAGAAGGACTTATTCATTTCTTATTTACTTCGTCGCCGCCGCCACTGGAGACAACCAAGCCACGCGCCTCTATAGAATGCGGTACCTTTTATCTATAATTTATTGCTCGGACATTACCTTCCAGTATCAATCTTGCTTTTTAGACTGTCTTCGGTGCTAATACAACGTTGCAATTCGGTATTTTTGGAGGCCAGAAGATGCAAGAGGTATGTGCAAGTTGGATTGCTCATCTTTGTACCAGTCTGGCGAGAAACGGATTTTTTTATAGTTTTGTATCATGCTGGCATATAAATCCACTAAGAAACAAGGGTGGCTGAAAGGTAGACAAGTTTCACTCGAAATCGTAACTGAATGAAATTCCAGTTATAATGGTTATCTTATTGTATACTTATCAGGGCTGAAAACATGTTTTTAAAAAAAATTAAAATCATGTTTCATTTGTTTAAAACATTTAGCTGAAAAAATATGTTTAAAACAGTAAAAAAATTTAAAAACTATTGCCTATATAATCTAGCAACGTTAATGAAGTTCCTTGAAAGTGTTATTACTATTTTTGATCCAGCTCTATCACAGCACATCTCTAATTTAAAAGCGGACATCGGGAAACTACCGTGCGGACGTCGGGAAAGTACCGTTTGCTTTTGGGTAATTTTTCGCGTTGCGATCTCCAGCAGTCAAATGTGCGAAGTCGTAGCGGCAAAAAAAGAAAGGCAATGACAGGGAGGAGAAAGGATCCCGTGTGGTAAATATTTTAAGGAGACTGATGCCAAAGCTGGCTCGAAAATAAATAAAGCAGCAATATGTTTAACCTGCAATATGGATATAGTGCCCTTGGTGGCTAGAATGCGCAAGCATATTAAACATTGAAAATAACTTATACAAAGAAGTTTGTTAGAAAAACAAAATATTCATATATTAGATAGTTCCGACAATAATGATGTTTCTACCGAACCTATTTCCTGAAAGTTAAGTAGCTTGGAGAATTGTGAAACAGGTACATTTTTTGCTTGGAGTTCCGTAAAAAGTAGTGAAAATTAAAAATTTACTCTATATTCAATGATTTTATATTTTAAAAATATGGATTTAAGGACTTTTTGTTAAATAAGAAGGGATGTATACTTTTATAGAAATTTTTTAAGTAACTTTATTTGATGTTATTACACAAGTAAATACATAGTCATATTATATGATTATTCTGCTGCTTGTGTTATACTGGTATTAGAGTTTATTGCAGTTTATTAAGTTCACTCGTTCGTTAAGAAACATTTTTCATGTTTGATTGATTGATAAAAAATAAAGTATATTTTTTAGTTAGTTTTAACCTATGGCTCTTTTAGTTTCGTTGTGCAAAATAAAATCAATTTTAATCATTCTTAAAAAAATATAAAAAAAAACTTGAATAATCTACAAACGACGTGTTTAAAACATGTTTTAAGCAGTTTAAAACAAATTGGTTTAAAACACGTTCATTGTTTTAAACATTCTGATTAAAACATAACAACCCTGATACTTAAAAGATCCTAAAAATACTATCAATATCTGGCTGACAATTTCTATAGGAATATTGTTTTCCGTTAACGGCTTTTCGATGTTTTTTAAAATTTGGTGCTTCAAAACAAAAGTTGTAACCTGCTGATTTTTTCATCGTAATCTGTTAGGTTCATAAAACTGATTTTCATTACTAAATATTGTAATTTCCTTACCGTAGTGGTCGACCCAATCATGCATGGATGGTATCTGGCTACAAAACTAGGACTTTTTGAAAAAAAATACCGATTGTTTTCTCTCTCTCTGACTCAGTTATACATGATATCCTGTTATTGAGCCACACATCAAGGTAGCATTTTTTAAATATTTTTTTCATGTTTGAATTCGTCCTTTTAAAAGAACATTGATCTAATAGACTTATGGCTTTTGTCGGATAGTTGCTAAGCTGTTAATAATTCACACGCAACCAAGCTATGTGACATAGTGTATATCACAAATAAGAATGATAAAAGGAACGGTGTTGCAACATGCAATTTTATAGAGTAGTTGCAGAAATATCCTATGGTGTGACCTATCTCTGTGTTACAATGGTGCCACAATTCAAGATATAATATATCACAGTATCATTTCAAATTATAGTATTGACCTGCCGTTGCTATATATCACATATGTCACTAATAAGGATCATAGAAGGAACAATGTTGCATCACGAAAGTCATATAGCAGTTTCATAAGTGTTCTCTGTTGTATATAAAGCAAAGTGCAAGAAACGGTACCCTCTTAGTGGACAGTGGGTGTGATATCCTGCCATCTCTAATGAATTGTTTGGCGATATCGCTCCACTTTTTTCTATTATTTAAAGCATTTCCATGCAAGGAAAAGGTACAGATTATGAATACGGATTGAAGTAAAACCTTTTCCTCCAACCTTTTACTTGAAAACAAGTGCTTCATTTTCATAAATACTAACTACAACAAATGCAACAAATTTCACCACATATATTCTACTATTAGGCAGACGATGTTTCTCTTTTTGTTCACCACGTGCAGAATGATCGCTTTAGTTCCCCCCCACTATGCACTTCGCCGCTGATGAATTTAGAACGCGGTTTATAGGCTGCTGTAGTGGATAGAATCCTAGTATGACAAGGTACAATGGACAAAGGCATTAACCCTACAAATCTGTTTTTCTTCACTGTCAAACAAAGCTCATGTCGGTCTATTTTGCTGCACATCCTCTCCGACTTAATGACACTACGAGAGCATTTCGGGTACCTGAACGGCCTTAAGTACGCATGGATAGGCTCAGCTTGCCCTGCATTGAACACTTGCTTGGCAGTGGCCCCTCTTCTAGGAATTGATGTTAACTACCTCTGTCGATGCGGTGGCGAACCACTTACTCCCTCAAACCTCAAGGAGCTTCAGGATACTGACATTCCTCAGTATACGGCCAAAATACATGAAGCTGCTAGTTTGGAACAAGCACTTTCAGGTGAGACCAGCTTTTAAGCTTAGCATATAGTAGTCAATATGAAAAAATACGAATGAGGTAAATGTGTCTTCTGCGAAATTTATTATTAGCTTAAATATTTTTTATTAGACTCAGTTGCAAAAAATAACTTTTATGTGCTTATCTGATAATCTGGCTTATTAAAAAAATACCGGGTTATTTGGATATGCTGCAAATAGGCATTATTAAAATCCTATATAATGAAAACAGGTATGTATAGCTATATTTCAAAGTCTGCTGATTACAATAGGGTACAAAGGGTTAAGTTTGAAACTTTTATTACACGTGTTGAAATCTATGAAATGTTGAATTCGTTAAAAATAATATAATATTCATCTTTTAATTGTAGACGCCAACGTAGTTTCGATAAATAATCCAGTGAAGGTCGATATTCCTATGATAATGAAAACTCAAATTGACAAGCTGGCTCACGAAAACTGGGTGTTTTTTCATCTTTTTCCGAGAAAACCTGATGAAGTAGACGAAGAAATATTTATCAATGACAAAAATTTGGTATGGAAATCTTTTGCCAATTCAAAATGGATATGTGCGGCAATTGTGCACTATTTGTTGAACAGCGCTGTAACATATAATGTAAATAATGTTTAAGGAAAGTGAAGATATAAACTTAAAATGATAAATTATTGTGTATGATTTAGGTTATCGGAGCCTATTCCACCGGATCTGTGCGACTCCAAATTAGACCGGGAGCTGGGGGCAAAAATAGGGGGGTCATGATACAGCAGGAAACCTACTCAGACCGATAGTACTACATGAAAAATAACTTCTAGCACCATGACGTCACTTGAGAGCGGTACATGTAAGTGCAGGGAAAAATTGAATTTTCTGTCCAGAAGGGGTAGGAAAAGACTAAATAATTTTTTACGGCTTTCTTTAGTATCACAGATGCGAACAAAATAATCACGATGCACTTAGTGCCGAACGGAAATAATGGTGCCGGAAGCCATAAAAAATTTTGAATTTTCAGGAAATTTTCTATGCAGAAAAATTAATTAATTAACGTACGGCATTGTTACAGTTACCTTTCTGTAATTTTTTACATTTAAAATTTTGTTGGCATCTGTGATACTAAAGAAAGCCGTAAAAAATCATTTAGACTTTTCCGACCCCTTCTGGACTGAAAATTCAATTTTCCCCTGTACTTACATGTACCGCTCTCAAGTGACGGCATAGTGCTAGAAGTTATTTTTTCATGTAGTACTATCGTTCTGAGTAGGTTTCCTGCTGTATCACATGACCCCCCCATTTTTGCCCACACCTCCCGGTCTAAATTCAAATATCCCAGATTGTCCCAAGTATTCACATCTCCTATCTCCTTCCTTCCAACCGTGGCTACCCGTGGCCTTCGTCGATTGGTCTACTGATTTGCCGATGTTGCCAAATGTAGAGTAGTATTGAGTGGAACCGCATTTCACCAGCATGGTCACTGAGATGTTTCGGTTATGCTAGCTAGGGAATACATCGGTGATTGAAAAACATTTACAATATTTCCAGAGCAGAAGGTATAGCCAAAAATAAAAAAATGTCCCATAAATGCAGATAATAAAGGGTCTTGGAAGTTTCTACGTCATCGACCGATGAGACTGAATAGAGACAAAACTTGAATATTCTTCAAATAACACTATGGTGAGAGCCTGCATACACTTTTCAATTTCAAACTTTACTTTTCAGAGTAGATCTGTTTTATATACGGATTTCACTTAAAATATTCAAACCAATTCTTCTCCAAATAGGTAGCCTAACAAAAATTTCTCGAGCGGCGATTTATGTAAAATTGTATAACGTATGGGAAAATCCAACAGACGTGAAAAAAGACAGTTGCGTAACATGGTTGCGTAATAACCTTTTTCTATTTTCTTCTGTATATGTTTCAAGACCCATCGACACCGGTATTAGGTAAAAACCTAAAAAAGCCATACAAAAATCATAGTGCGAATCTTACGTTTCATCAAATACGAATCGCAGTTTTGTTGTCTTAATAAAGGGTGCTACACTCTGGTACCGACATTGAAAATAGCAGCAAAGCACATCGCACACCACTGCTGTGGCAGCGTGCCTTTTAACCGACAAGTCGGTGCGCTCATATCTCGCCATATTTAAGAAAAATGCCGCGCTGGAAGTAGCGTGCCATGTGCTCCGCTGCTCTCTTCGTTTTCGGTACCCGAGTACTCATATGTGAGAATTTACACGGTATATTCCGTGATCCCATGCATCATTCTTTCATCGCTGCGAATTCTGTAGGAAGGAATCGATATAGCAAAAAAGCAAAAGCTCCTAGGCTGGCGCTACTCTTTTAGTCAAAATATCATCAAAAAAAGTGGCAACAATTCGAACAAAACTCGCTTAGTGGCAACCATGCATTTGCACCCACAGTTGCAAAATTATTATTCTTTCTCACTCTGGCGTATGTTTGCATGGTTTATTAGAAGAAGATCAAAGATGACTTCAATCACCTTATCTCTCTTCCTCCCACGTCTCGACACACCATCGCCATGGAGTTCCCATCTCGGTCATTTTCGTTTTCTCGTACTCTGTACTGTCACTTCATTCGTAAAAGAGACAAGAGAGGTTAACGGGAGAAGTGCGGAATCAAACAATGAAATCTCTGCTTATTTTATCCGTCTTTGTGGCGGTATTTTCTTCATCAGCCGCCGCTGATGACAAAAAAGGGCCCAAAGTAACCGACAAGGTAAGCAACAGCTAATTTCCAAAATAACTTTGCTTCAAGTTCATTTTTTCCGTTTGCAAAAAGGTATGGTTCGACATCAAAATTGGTGACGAGGCAGTCGGTCGTGTTGTCATCGGCCTGTTCGGAAAGACGGTGCCAAAGACTGTGCAAAACTTTGTCGAGTTGGCAAAGAGGCCTGAAGGACAGGGCTACAAAGGCAGTAAATTCCACAGGGTCATCAAGGACTTTATGATTCAAGGTGGAGATTTCACAAAGGGAGATGGTACAGGAGGTAAGCAGGTTCATTCAACTCGGTTGATATACGCCACACAAAAAACATGAAAACAAAAGTCTAGAAACGATGCCAAATACCTTTTTCCATTTATTTTTCTGAAATGTATTATTTTTCTTATACAAAATCTAATTTAAGAGCTTTGTCCATATGAATGTTTGAATGATTACTTTTACTGAACCACAGCTTTTACTGTCTTTGAGAAAATCTTCTGGTTGAATGGTCTGCTTAGTCAAATAATTTTTTTATGTTCTCAATGCAAAGTGCCAATAATAATAATACCCATTTTACATTGACAATAAATCCACAGATTTCTCGATGAATTGAGTTCATGGCCAAATTTCAGAAGTGTAAAACAGGAATTTGACGTCAAACAAATCCTTCATTCCTTCATCCATAGTTACAAAAGAGAAATGGGTGAATATATACCCTATTTCACGAGTATCCATCACATTTTGATGTTTACCGAGGTGAACAGCTGATCAGCAAGTTTAATTTTTCTGTTAGTCTGCAATGTTGGCAATACTGGATTGGGTATAAATCTAGTAAACCTTGTAGCAGCATAAATTCTGTTCTATCTATTACAGTGTAACATATATATGTGTGTATGTAATGGGTAGGTTTTCCTGATGTTGTCATAATTTTGAGCCCACAAGTTATCGAGAGGGCTTTGTGTCAAACGATGTTATCTACAATCACCACTAGATCCACCCTTGGACCTTTTCTTCTTATGGTGTCAAAGCAATGTTTCTCAGTTTAATCCCTGAATCAAGGAATAGGGTTGAGATATACGATTTTTTCCATCAAAGTGAATTGAGTATGGCAAATCTAATGGTAATAGTTCCACAGAAATTGTAGTTAAGGTCTTTTGTATGTATCTCACATAAGAAACAGACAATAACTATCAACAGTTATGCACAAAATGTAAATTTCCTCATGACATTTATGTAGATAACACATTTTCATTAGCAATTTCAGAGTACTGAATTAAAATCCTATTATGAACATAGTACATATGTTCTAGGCTGAGTACATAGGGTTTTTTTTATATAACATGTTTGTTCCTCAATACATGTTTTCTATTATTTTTAAAGTACAAAAATAATTTTGGTATTGTAAGCTTGCAATATATTACTGTGGTGTTGATGTTAAGTTGTCGCAGAAATGCAAATTCTATTGATTGATTTGAATATATAGGTGTGGTATACATCAAGTCACATATTTTTGCATTTTAGAACTGTTGCTTAATCTTCATGGCAGCTTAGTAGGACTGTTACAAGTACTTTACTCTGAATGCATATCAAAATATTGAAGATTAGAATCTAATCTTTTGAAGTTCTGTGTTATTCTATATTGATATCTAAAAGCCAGGTGACTGTGGAAAACTTTCAAATCTTTCCTTTTCTTCTTGTTTGTATAATAAAAATAATATCTAATAAAAGTAATATTCATGGGGATAGAGCTTTGTGAATCAATAACTTTACTGAACTTTGAACTACATGCAAAATAAAAACGTCTGTCATGTTAATAAGTCAATTTTTAATTGTTATTTTTGATATGATTGAAATGATTCTTTTGCTTAAGCTATACAGGGTGACTTTGAAGTTGAGTCATTAATTTTCAGATAATGATTGTAGAAGGAAGATAAACCAAAATATGTGTGTAAAAATAAAAAAAAATAAAAAAAAATGTTTACCTTGTTTTATAAAGTATCCTCCCGACAAGTATTTCAGTGCGGACCTGTATTTGATCGTGAGGTGCCCTGTGAGGTCTTAAGTCACCTGATTCACGAGCCCGTTGTACTACATTAACAAAGGCACGAGGGGTTGGTTGCACTCGATTGGGAAACCGATCCGCATAAACATGTGCCATTTTTTATTTCGTTTGAGCCACGCAACAGACACTATTCACACGCGACTGACACTGACTGTATGTATAACTGAACTGAATGAAATAAAAACATCGTTCCAAATTCTTTCGCTTTTTTGTTTCCGATGCGATGAACCGATAAGGTGGATTATATCCGTTGTTGCCAAACACGAGTACATGATATTATTATTGAGACAGGGCGGTACTCAAACTTCCAAAGGGCTATAACTTTGTTACTTTAATTTTACCAGAAAAATGGTAAAGGAAAAAAACATTTCTTTTGATCAGATCTGCTCACTGTTAAAATAAATGACTCAACTTCGAAGTCACCCTGTATATCATTAACCCTATTTCCTGCTAGCACAAGTAAGCCTGTAACAGTTGTTCAGGTTTTTTCTCATAATAAATTGTAAAGATTTATTTATAGGTGACACAGTTTTTATTGTCTTCCGAAAAATCCATATTTTGGGACTTAACTAGGTTTTTGCACTTTTGCACAATTAGTCTGATTTATTTTTAGTTTATAAAAAAAACATAATAAGGAGTATGGTAGATAGTTTTTGTATTTACTACCTATGACACAATTACCATGAATTGTGAAAGTAAGGCAGGGCCTCAGCAAAGTGTTGAAGTATGGTCTATGATAATTTAAGTACTAAGTCATTAGTTTGACAATAACAAGAGATCCAATGTTAATTCAAGTCATATCCATTAAAGTAGTATGATGGATGTGTCACTTGCAAGGTCAGATCCCTTTTGTGAGTATCATGCCTTATCAGATGGCT